CAAAGAGTCCTGGGAAAGAGGAAACGACCTGCTTCTCACAGGTTCAGAAAGTTCCAGGCTTTTTCTAAAGAACCCCCCTGGGGGTCCAGCAGTTGGTCCACACCTGCTGCCTGCCCCTCCCACACCTGCCGGCCAGTAAAGATGGCAACATTGGGCTCAAGAGTCAGGCTCAGGCCTGAGGCCTGGAAACCCTGCTTCCAGTACTTTCCTTGGCATCTCAGCAGGACCTAGAGCAATGATTGGCAAACTCATTAGTCAACAGAGCCAAATGTCAACAGTACAACGATTGAAATTTCTTTTGGGAGCCAAGTTTTTAAAACTTAAACTTCTTCTAAGGCTGCTACTTCAAAATAGACTCGCCTAGGCCGTGGTATTTTGTGGAAGAGCCACGCTCAAGGGGCCAAAGAGCCGCATGTGACTCGCGAGCCGCAATTTGCCAACCACGGACCTAGAGCATTTGCAAATAGCCAGTTGAAAAGCATTTCCATTTGCAGCTTGTGTGCCAATGGCCCATGCACTGCACTTCCTGCAACCCTGAGCGGAAGGGGGTCCAAGGGAGTTGTTCTGAGGGCCAGCAGATGCCAGGGAACTTCCTGATCCATCTGCTGAGACCCCTTGCCTCAGGCAGGAGGAGTGATGCCTTAGCCTAAGCCCAGGGCCCGCTCGCGTTGCCAAGGTTGCGGTCATCACCTGCCATACCAGCAGGGCTCTGCGGCAGGTCCTCCCCTGGTCCACCTGTGCAGCTACTACCTTACGTCTGCACCTGCGCCTGGGTGTACTGCCAGCCCTGGAATCTTCCTGGTCATACTGACGGGGAGGCTTTTCTCTGAGCTACAATACTTCTCAATGCACCTGACCGCCCCTCCCCGAACTTGGGTGCACAGGAGGGCAGCATGGTGACCACTCTGCGGAGTCTACACCGGCCCCTGGCCTGGCCTTTGGGAGTTTGTTTCCAGTGAAGCACGCTGGGAAAGGTAATTAGCATGTGGTTGGTTGTGCCAGCCAAGGGTGCATACCAGAAACAAGAGGCTCTTTAAGGGTGCCAGGGACTGACATCATGCATCTTCTGTTGGAAACTGTATACACTTCACAATTTGGAGCCTCCTGCGTGCTGCCTCATATCTTCAATCAAATTATTATACCTAGAAATATGCATAAGGGAAATGATTCGACACACTATGGGGGCGGGGGTTGGCACTTGTGGCGGTAATTGAAGTACCTTCCCACTTATGAAAGTACTAATTTTATTTGTTTTTATTGCTTTTCTAGATGCAATTATTTATTTAGTGTGCTTTGGCTTTATTAGATTATGTTTACTATAGGAACATCATGAAAATGTATGAATACAACACACCAGCCACGCCAGCCTGGCGACCTGCGTGGAGAGAGCTAGTGTTATTTTTCATATCCAAACGTAATGGGATAACTTAAGAATAAACAGATAATCTACACTGGAAAACAATGCGATTTCACGGTAATGTAATAAAACACCTGGACAATATGATTTCATAAATCTTGGCTCTAAAATTTACATGAGTTGGGTTTTGAGTGCTGATCTGAGGACACATGGCATTTCTAAATGGAACCATAATGGGAAATGTAATTAAACCGACGACAGGACGGGACGGGCTTTTTGTTGGCTGGTGAGAGATGACGACTGAGAAGCAGTGTAGGGTTTGGGTGTCGGAAGACAAACGGGGGCTCTCATCCCTGTAAATGTCCTGAACGAGAAATGTCAGCGTGGCCAGTCTGTGGAGGTGGCTTGGCAGTCGGCCCCACAAGCTCTGCCCTGCTCTCTCTGTCTCCCGCTCCCTGTCCCTATTATGATGTTTCACTCAGAAGAAGGGGGGCTTTCTGCTTTGGGCGTGCTTTTAAGAAGCTTCAAAGATGGTTCATTTGCCCAGAATTTTTGTGAGGTAACCAAGACATAGCACAAAGGAGCAGAAATCAAACCAAAACAACAGCACAACCAAAGCCAAAAAACAAAACGCAGCCCCGTGGCCGCTTATGGGAAATCATGTGTCTTTCAGGACTGTAAATTAGCCAATTTTTCTAATTATGAATTAGAATTAATTAGCACATTGTTTAAATACAGGCGCCTACCACAAAATTCAGGAAGAAGAAACAAAGTATGCGATGGAGGTGGAGGGAGCCTCCCTGGCCCTGAGGGCGCGGCGGGTGGGGAGGGGGGGCGGAGGCGGGGGGGAAGGGCGCGATGGGCGCCAGGTCTGGTGTTTCCAGCAGGTTCTGAGGGTTTTCTGAGCATATACATGTATGCAGGTCTGTTTCCTCACACACATTCACACAATGACAGTAAAGCACACGGTACTCATATATATATATATATATATATATATATATATATATATATATATATATATATATATATATATATATATATAGCGCTGTCATTGCTTGGTGATGCTGGCTCCGTGTAGAACGTCTCTGTGGATGCTCACTGAACTGTCTCAGGTTTTGCTGCACCAATACACACCCTCAGCAGCAATGTGCGAGAGGACCTGCTTCCCTCTATTTCTTGTGGCAGTCTTTCTTTAAAATGGATTCAAGTACAATAACATACAATGCTATATCAGTTTCGGGTGTACATGGTTTGACGTTTTTTGGTCCTCATGGTGTGATCACCGCGCAAAGTCGAGTGCCCATCTGTCCGGCGCGGAGTTACTGTGATATGTTCCCTGAGCTGTGGGTTACATTCCGTCACTTGCTTATTTTATAACTAGAGGTTGTGCTTCTTAATTCCCTTCAGCTTTTTCACCATCTCTCTCCCTCCCTCAGGCAGCCATCAGCTTCTTCTCCTGAAAGACGAACTGAGGTGAAAGTGTGATAGGAAGTCCCAGTTCTCTTGTTAGGAGGAAGGCTGCTTCACTTCGCTGTCAGTCATGTGTGTCTCCTCTCCTGTGAGCCCGTTATTTTTTCTTTGTTGGATTGCAAAGTCCTTTGATATGAGTTACACATATTTTCCTCCTTTTTTTTTTAATGGCCTTTGACTTTATTCAGAGACTATTTTGCCATACATAGCATGAAAATGTCCTTATCTTTTCTGTGTTGCTTCCAATTTTTGTATCATACTTTAAAAAAAAAAAACTTCATATGCTGAAATTATTTTTAATTTGTTCACACATTCTTCTAGCACTTTTATGAGTTTATTTTCTGCATTAAATGTTAAATTCATCTGGAACTTGTCTGGTATAAAGACTGGTACAGGGATATAATACATTTTCAAATGGCTACCCAAGTATACTGCCACCATTTATTGAAAAATAATATTTGGGTAATTTCTGGATTTTCTTGTCAGTCCCATTTGTCTATTCACTTGCCAGCACCACAGTATTTTAATGATTGCAGTTTATACTTCTAAAATTATTGGAATTGGATCACCACGTATTTATTTCAATGATATTCCTTAAACATGGTAAATATATACATATTTATGTCTATTTTATTCAAAAATTTTGAAAAGGTTTTTAAAATTTATTAGATGAATTTCCAGTATCTATAAAGATAACAAAATGGTTTTACATCTATTACTATTATGAATTATAGTAATAGATTTCTCTTTGCATTCCAGAAAGAAAATCAACTTAACATGATTATCCAACTTTTAATATACTTCTTCATTTTCACTGAGTAAATTTGATTTAAAATTTATATTAATAAATGAAATTGTTCTAAAATATGCAAATTTTTATTTTTTATGTACTGGATAATTTTAATTATATTGTAATTATCTGTTCCCTAAAGAAAGTTTTTTCTTAGAAATTCTCATATAGAACTGCCTGTTTGTGAGAGAGAGCTTTTGACAATATGTTTTCTTTCTCCTTTCCCCTCCTTTATGCTCTCTTCCTTTTATCACTTTCTTTTATTTTGTTGATGATAGTACATTCATATTTTTTTTTGACCTAATGCTTCTAATTTATATTTTCCAGGACATTACCCATTTTATCTCATATTTCCAATTTTTTGCAATAAGTTGAGCGAAGTAGTTTTTTAATTTCAAAATTTTTCTTCATTTACATTATGTTTCCTTTCTTATTTCCTATTTTATTTGTTTTTTTTTTTCCTTTTATATATTTTCAGTTTATTTTTATTTATTTTCAATATATTTTATTGATTTCAGAGAGGAAGGGAAAGGGAGAGAAGAGAGATAGAAATATCAGTGATGAGAGAGAATCATCGATCCCACTGGGGATCGAGCCCATAACCTGGTATGTGCCCTAGACGGGAATCAAACCTGGGACTCTTCAGTCCGCAGGCCAATGCTCTATCCACTGAGCCAAAACCAGCTAGGGCTATTTTCAGTTTATTTATTTTATTGTTTTCAAAGCACAAGTTTTTGGATGTTTCTACTACCTCGACTGTCTTTTTGTTTTCTGATTCACACTGCCTGGTTTTAATGTTACTGGTTCTTTGTTTTTATTTAAATTATTTTGTTCTTTTTCTAACTTCTTCAGTTGGATGATTCATCCATTTAATTCATATTGTTTAATATAAATACTTAAGACTGATTTTTTTCTGAGTACTGTGTTTTTTAGGTTCTGGCAAGTATTATTTTATTTATCATTATTTTAAGATATCCTGAAATTTTAGTTTTATATGGGTTAAGTCATTTCAGAGAATTTCTAGATAGTAGCATTCTAGTTTTGCTATTAATTTCTAAGATTTTTGCTCCTGTCTTTTTTCCTTTGGATCAGAGACTGCTAGTGATATCATTTTTACTTTTCAGAATTAAAGTTTATTTTGGCCTCCTGGTTAATTAGTTTTTGCCAGTGTTCTGTGTTGACTTGAAATTAAATCATAGTGTCTCTTTGCAGGGCGCAGTGGTCTGTGTATGACAATGAGATGTGTGTGCTTTGCTCAGGTTTTATGTGTCCTTGTACATGTTTGTGCACTTGCTCCCTTTGTGTGCCACGAGAGCGCACCTGTGCGAGCGCGTGGCGGAGCCGGGCTGTCACACAAGTCCATGTTGTGTTGTCTTTCAGCCGCGGATCGCCGAGGAGAACCTGACCTACGCCGAGCTAGAGCTGACCAAGCCCCCGCGGGCGGCCAAGGGTGCTCCCACCAGCACTGTCTACGCCCAGATCCTCTTCCAGGAGAACTCGCTGTAGCTCCTCCTCCCGTGGCCCTGTGTCAGCCTGCCACCGTTATTTATGAACCTGGGAAGCCAAGTCCTCGTTTTGTATCTTCACGTGTGCCTTCTGTGAGGTGGAGTCCCTGTCTTAGGGCGTCCTGGGTGCTCCTCACCTCCAGAGCGGGGCCATGGCCCGGGGACAAGTCTTCTGGAGAGTGTTTTCTGGGTATCCAAGGAGATGCTCTGCTGAGCCAAGCCCCTTCCCGGTCTCAGCTTCTTCCTCTGGATTTTAATTCTTTTAAATCTGAATATTAATCTTGTATTCTTCCTGTGTCTGTGATACTAGAGGAAATGCCACTGTAGGCCAAGGCTGAGCGGTACATATGGATGGATGGGTGTTCAGACCAGACAGCATTGCCAGGGCCCGAGAGCAGAGCAGAGCAGAGCAGAGGGCTCATTGCCAGCTGAACTCCAGACACTCCACACGGCGCCTGTTGTAAACTGGTGCCTCGGCCTGTGATTTAAGGAGAGACAGGCACGTGGGGGGAAGTCTGAGGTCTAACGGACAAGGAGCTGCCTCCGAGGCCCCCCACAGACAAGCAGAGCTCTGCCAGGACCCCGGCGTGCAGCAGCGTGGACCAGCCTCGCACAGACACGGGCCTCCTCCACGAAGGCCTGTCTTTCATGGAGGCGCAGGGGCTGCTTCACCACGCTGAGGAGGCGGCCTCGGGACTGGGCCTGGGCTACCACTCTGACGACGGCTGCATCCTGGAGAGCAGTGCTGCCCGCCCAGGGTGGAGCTTCACGTGTCGAGGGAGGAGGGTGGACAGTGCTCACACGTCCAGGAAGCGTGGGAGCGCTCACCACAGGGAAGGCGGTCCTACACCGGGCACAGGTCCTCAACTGTGCGTGCACTTCCTGCGGGTTTGGGCGGGGGTCCCGCAGGGTCCTGCGGGTTTGGGCGGGGGTCCCGCAGGGTCCTGTGGGTTTGGGTGGGGGTCCGGCAGGGTCCTGTGGGTTTGGGTGGGGGTCCGGCAGGGTCCTGCGGGTTTGGGCGGGGGTCCCGCAGGGTCCTGCGGGTTTGGGCGGGGGTCCGGCAGGGTCCTGCGGGTTTGGGCGGGGGTCCCGCAGGGTCCTGTGGGTTTGGGTGGGGGTCCCGCAGGGTCCTGCAGGTTTGGGTGGGGGTCCGGCAGGGTCCTGTGGGTTTGGGTGGGGGTCCCGCAGGGTCCTGTGGGTTTGGGCGGGGGTCCCGCAGGGTCCTGTGGGTTTGGGTGGGGATCCGGCAGGGTCCTGTGGGTTTGGGTGGGGGTCCCGCAGGGTCCTGTGGGTTTGGGTGGGGGTCCCGCAGGGTCCTGTGGGTTTGGGTGGGGGTCCGGCAGGGTCCTGTGGGTTTGGGTGGGGGTCCGGCAGGGTCCTGTGGGTTTGGGCGGGGGTCCCTCAGGGTCCTGTGGGTTTGGGCGGGGGTCCCGCAGGGTCCTGCGGGTTTGGGTCTGGCAGGGTCCTTTGGGTTTGGGTGGGGGTCCCGCAGGGTCCTGTGGGTTTGGGTGGGGGTCCCGCAGGGTCCTGTGGGTTTGGGTGGGGGTCCGGCAGGGTCCTGTGGGTTTGGGTGGGGGTCCGGCAGGGTCCTGCGGGTTTGGGCGGGGGTCCCGCAGGGTCCTGTGGGTTTGGGTGGGGGTCCGGCAGGGTCCTGCGGGTTTGGGCGAGGGTCCCGCAGGGTCCTGTGGGTTTGGGTGGGGGTCCGGCAGGGTCCTGCGGGTTTGGGTGGGGGTATGGCAGGATCCTGTGGGTTTGGGCGGGGGTCCCGCAGGATCCTGTGGGTTTGGGTGGGGGTCCGGCAGGGTCCTGTGGGTTTGGGTGGGGGTCCCGCAGGGTCCTGTGGGTTTGGGTGGGGGTCCGGCAGGGTCCTGCGGGTTTTGGCGGGGGTCCGGCAGGATCCTGTGGGTTTGGGTCTGGCAGGGTCCTTTGGGTTTGGGTGGGGGTCCGGCAGGGTCCTGCGGGTTTGGGTGGGGGTCCGGCAGGGTCCTGTGGGTTTGGGCGGGGGTCCGGCAGGGTCCTGCGGGTTTGGGTGGGGGTCCGGCAGGGTCCTGCGGGTTTGGGTGGGGGTCCGGCAGGGTCCTGCGGGTTTGGGCGGGGGTCCGGCAGTATCCTTTGGGTTTGGGTCTGGCAGGGTCCTTTGGGTTTGGGTGGGGGTCCGGCAGGGTCCTGCGGGTTTGGGTGGGGGTCTGGCAGGGTTCTGTGGGTTTGGGTGGGGGTCCCGCAGGATCCTGTAGGTTTGGGTGGGGGTCCAGTAGGATCCTGTGGGTTTGGGTGGGGTTCTGGCAGGGTCCTGTGGGTTTGGGTGGGGGTCCGGCAGGGTCCTGTGGGTTTGGGTGGGGGTCCGGCAGGGTCCTGTGGGTTTGGGTGGGGGTCCGGCAGGGTCCTGTGGTGTAGACACTGCGGGGAAGTTGCCCAGGGCCTCGCTGAGGCCCACTCATTCTCGCGAGGGCCATCCTGCCAACCGTGTGGTTAAGGACACGGCTTTCTGTGTGAGTGAATCTGGTGGTTACTATCGCCCACCACAGACATTGTTTGGTTACGTAGGGACCATGTACCTGTGATGAGTTACATACTGTAAACACAACCTTGCGTGTGAGCTGTGCCCCTGTACAACCACATGGATGTCACTTGGCCAAGTGCCTTATCCCCTAATGGTCTCAGACTCGTGTTTATATAAAGGTGACTTACCGTCTCGGAGAATTCTTGAAATGGGTTAGTGATGTTGTGAGATTCTGGACACTGTAAATTGCTACACAAATACATTGTGTTAACATTCAAGCTAAAGCCAGTTTGCATTTTTCAAAATGAAATTACCACCAAAGGCTCTCATTGCAGTAATTCGAAAACGTAAATATTTGCCCATGAACTTAGGAAATATTGGATAGTATTTTAACCAATTTTTCAGTAAGAAGGTGATGATGCCAAAATACTTATTCATTCAACACCTTCTCCAAGGTCAGCATTACATACATCATCTCATTTAAGTCCTCATTTACATCCACAAGGAGGCTGTGGCACTCTGGGTGACACTCCCAGAGGCCCGTGCTAGCTTGTGTCTGAGCCCGAGGGCCGCCAAAGGCGCCGGAGTTTCTCTGAGGAGTACACTGGCCGGGAGCGCCCTGCGGGCCTCCAGTAGAATTGAGCCCTTCGTGCTTTCTTGAAAAGCGTCCAAATTGGAGCAGGTAATGACTTTCCAGAAGCAAAAATAACCTGACTTTGCAAAGAGGAGGCCACTCTGGCTACACCTGCATCTCACCCCTTCCCTCTCTGCCAGGTGTCAAAGGTCAGGAGCACACCCCAGCGTTTGAGGGAGAAAGACCATTGGAAGGCAGCTCTGGAACTTCGCAGAGCATGGCTAGGGAGGAGGGTATGCAGTTAGTCTCACATCATGTGTCACAGGCAGCATGTCGTGTGTCTACAGCACAGCAGCAGCAGGGCGTGGGGACTCGGTGTTTTGAGGAAATAAGGGATTTCCTAATTTGCACGAAGAGCCACATGGGCCCTGGGGGTGCCAGGGGCAGCGGGCATGTGGAGAGGAGATGGTGGGAGCGGCCGTGGGGGAGGAAGCCCAGGCCCCTGCAGAACTGGATTGAACTTAAATCACGCAGAGCAAGCCCTCACACTCCGGGGAGCATAGGGCCATCGCACGTGGAAGTAAACTCGTCCCACCGAGAAGAGCAGCTCTCAGAGCTGCAGTTGCAAGTTGGTCTAAAAGCCATTGGATATATTCAGTTCAGATTCTTTATCCCAAACTCGTCTCGGCCTCACAGGTGCACGCTAAGGCGTGCGAGGGGGCTGCCAGCGGAGGAGCCAGGGAGCTGCGGGACCAAGGCCCCTACTGACCAGCTTCCCGAGGGAGTGAGGAGCCAGCTCTGGCCTCCAGACTCCAAGCTCGCTCTGGCCGATGGGGAGCAAGCGTGATGTGCTGCTAGTGCTCCCCTGTGGGGGAAAGATCTTGATGTTACAGTCACAGGAAACTTAAAAAATGGTCTACCCATTCATTCGCTACCAAATACGCCACCAAACACGCACTGACATTTCTGAGGACACATGAGAAGTGACTCATGCAAAGGGAAGTTAGAGAGTTCTTGGGCTTGCTTTCACTGTACGGCGTCTATGGGAACAGCTGTGCATAGGAAGTGTGCACACCCACGGTTGCTTGCACGTGTCAGCAAAGTTAGAACAAGTAAGAGCCTATTGCTCAGGCCGCAGTGGTGCGTGCAGGCAGAGTGGGCGCACTCCGGCGCGGTGGTGAGTTGTGGCCTGCACCACGTGTGGAGAGGAGTCACCGTGCAGAGAAAGGGGCTGAGAAGAGGCACCCCCAGCCTGAACGGAAGCAGCCGTGCTGGGAAAGGGCTGGGATTTCTGTAGGGCCACCGCTTCCTTAACTCTCTATGACTGTTAGCTCACAGGGTAGGCAACAGCCAGGTGTCCTGGGCCCTGTTGGAATGACACGGCATGGGACACTCTTCAGGGTGCAGGCCTCTGGGCCAACCCACACACCCAGAAGCCACAGTGCTCGCTTGTGATGAGAACACTAACCCTGCTGGTACTTTGTGGGCTGTCCGTGGGCTGTTCGTCACCAGCCCTATAGGCATGTCTACAACCTGAGCTGGGCCACGACGGGTCCAGAGCATGCCTGAGGCGGCCTGGCTAGCCAGTCCTGGGAGAAAGAAGTGATCGCCCACCTTGGGCCACCAAGCTGGGATGCCACCCATCACATCTGCCCACAGCAATGTCTTAGTGGGCGAGAAGCCCAGGAGAAGAAAGGAGACGCTGAGCGAGAAGCAGGGAGGAGGCCCTGGACACACAGACCTGGCTCCCAGCCTCTAGCTCAGCCCCTTCTCTTTCCTGCAGATCTTCTCTTGGTGGGAATATTGATACCCTCCCCCCACCACACACCCCACCCCACACACTAGACACAAGCTGCTCCCTGAAATGGAAAATGGGTGTGGAGGACGCTCCGGCTTCAGGGTGGTCAGGAGCCTCGGGTGCGGTGGGGAGCCCTGGGGCCAGGTGACCCTGGGTCTCCTTGGAGTGGGTGTTGGTCCAGGAGGTCCGGGCCTGGCGGTCTCTGCTCCTAACCAGCTCCCAGGGAGGGCTGTGCTTCAGGTCCCCAGCCCCACGGTGAGTGGCAGGAGGGAAGCTGTTGGAAATGAGCCCCTGAGCCCCTGGGGGAGGTCTGAGTGGTGGGGAGCCCCTGCTGGCAGGTCAGGAGGGTGGGAGGGACGGGCCTGGAGTGTCTCTGAGGAGGACGCGCTGGCAGTGTCAGACGTCCGGTAG